ATAGATAGATAGATAGATAGATAGATAGATAGATAGATAGATAGATAGATAGATAGATAGATAGATGATAGATGATTGATGATAATAGATAGATAGATGTGATAGATGATAGATGATAGATGATAGATAATAGATAGATTGATGGATGAATGGATGGATGGATGATTGATACAGATGATAGATAATAGATAGATAGATATGATTGATGATTGATAGAGGGATAATAGATAGATGGATGGATGAATGGATGGATGATAGAGATGATAGATAATAGATAGATAGATAGATAGATAGATAGATAGATAGATAGATAGATAGATAGATAGATAGATTCCATTTAGTGACTGTTCAAAGTTACAGCAGCACTGAAAAATGTGGCTCATGTCTGTTTTCCAGTGATGACCTTTGCAACACCCCTATGAACATGTGATCAAAATTCGGATGCTTTTACTGGATACCTATGGCTGCAACCCTGGTCATCACAATTAATAGACAGAGAACTAGCCACTTGTACACATATCACTATAATCGATATCACACACTCTGCTCTCTCTCTCACAGAGAAAGGGGGGTGGAGAGTGAGAGTGTGTGCGAGAGAGAGAGATGGTGATCATCTGTAATATCCCACAGTTATATTGGCAGACTGAAATGTATGTACTGTGTTAAAAGAAACATGCATGAAAAAGGCACGAAGTCTTCAGGTGGGTTTTAATTGCAAAATAAAGCAATCATGGGATGCAGATGCACAGCAGATGGCTGTGTATGTACAAACATGCAAACAGTCACACTTGTCTTCAAATGCCATTGTTGCTTTAAAACTCCAAAGTGGGACCCATCCATGTGCTTTGCAAAGGGCTTCTTTCAGATGCTTTATGATGCTTTCTTTTTTTGCAGCGATCTGATGCCCTCTCCGTCATTCCTTTTAGGTTGGGAATCGCAGCTCCTGGAAACCGGTTTTTTGGCAATCTTCCTGTGTCCTTTGTGGACTTTTTCCCGGGTGGCCAAGGATACGCCCCCTTCCTTCATTGTCATCTGGGCCTATCGTTGGCTTATTTTCAGAATCATGCTTGGAGCGGTAAGTGCGTCATGGCAGGAATTGGTTTACTGGCAGCTTGACGACAGGCGGCTAAACTTGACGGCCTTCATCTTCAACCCTGCAGAATAAAGTTTTCTCCTCGCGATGTTAGAGCAGCTCCACGATGGGGTTTGAACCTATTAAAAGTTATTTCTCTCCAGCGGTTGTTAAAAATGGCACTCCTGGGTTCCTCTGGGAGCGTTCTAAATTTCCATAATGTTCACTTCTGCTCTCTTATCTCCAAGGCAGAAATTGACTTAAGACTGAAACAGGCAAATTATTCCTTCTATCACCTTCTCCTAATTCATTCCACCCCCATAATTTAGCTAATTTTGGGGGGGCAAATGGGCCCTTTTGAACCCGGGAACACACAACTCTGATGCACTACTAAGAGGCCTGGGGCTCAGCTAAACAGTTCAAGCTTCCTTTGCCTTGTTCAACTGAGGAACCCCTTTGGCATGAGACCATTCCTGGCCTGCTACATGCAATTACAGATAACAGATTAACAAAGATGGAAGGGACCTTGTAGGTCCGTGATGGCGAACCTAAGGCAAACTTGCCACAGGTGGCATGTGGAGCCCCCTCTGCGGGCACATGAGCCGTCGCCCAGCTCAGTTTCACCACGTATGTGCACGGGCCTCCTGCCGGTCAGCTGATTTTCGGGTCTCTGCCATGCATGAGGGAGATGCTGGTACATGCATGGAGGGCAGCTCCCCCCCACGCCCAGTTTTTGGTTCCAGGAGGCTTCAGGGAGGCCTGCTAGGCCCAAAATGGGGCATGAGGGGGGTTGTGCATGCATGTATGGGGGGGAGCACGAGAGGGTTGCATGCCCATGCGAAGCGGGAGGGCTGCACCAGGAGGGTGTTGTGCGCACATTGCGTTATGGGTGTGGGCATGCAAGCGTGCATTGTCGCATGCAGGCTCATGCTTTCGGGGCACAAGGACAAAAATGGTTAGCCATTGCTGTTGTAGTTTATATAGTCCAAATGCCCCCTGCCCAAGCAGGAGACCCTACACCATTTCTAACAGATGCCAGTCCAGTCTCTTCTTGAAAGTCTCAAGTGATGAAGCTCCCAGAACCTCGGAAGGCAAGTCATTCCAATGAATATAGAATAACAGAGTTGGAAGGGACCTTGTAGGTCATCTAGTCCAACCCCACACCCAAGCAGGAGACTCTACACTATTTCTGACAAATGGCAGTCCAGTCTCTTCTTGAAAGGTCTCAAGTGATGAAGCTCCCACAACTTCCAAACGCCCTTTGAAGGCAGTATGTTTGAAAGTGGGGGTCAGCAGCCAGGATGCCCCTTGCTTCTTGGACTTCGGTGCAAGTTATCAGTTGAGAATCAGGCTCTGTGTTTGTTTTACCACAGTTCTAACAAGGCCCCATTAAAAGCATTTAATTTCAGGATAAGGCTGGCATTAAAATTCCGGTCACTGAAAGCGGGATTCACAAGTGGGAAAGATGCCAATTTGTAGGTGGACGAGGCATTCCAGAGAAGGGGCTTAGAAATACTTTGGTTCAGCTGAAGTGATGTAGTTTTAAGAGACGTAGCCCCACCACCACTACCACCAAAGGTTAGGGCTAGAAATGGGCATGTTTCCACAACGAAACAAACATGTGAGAAAAGGAAATTATTCCTATGTACGTTGCCAGATTCTTTGCATTTCTAACACAGTTGTGAAATTCCATATTCAAAATCAATATAATAACCCCACCAGAGACAGGATTGCCAACACATGTATTTATTTTATTTTATTTAGTTACTTTGTCAAACATGTACGAGATAACAGGTATAAGTATAAACATGGACACAGGAAATGGCTATGAATAAATGGGGAGAGTAGGACAGGGACGGAAGACACGCTGGTCCGCTTACGCATGCACCCTTTACAAACCTCTCAGGAATGGGGTGAGGTCCACGCTAGACAGTTTAAGGTTGAAGCTGTGGGGGGTTGAGGATGTAACAATGGAGTCAGGTAGTGCATTCCAGGCGTCGACCTCTCTGTTGCTGAAGTCGTATTTTCCACAATGGAGTTTGGAGCAATTTACCTTGAGTTTGTATCTATTGTTTGCCCGTGTATAATTGTGGTTGAGGCTGAAGTAGTCATTGACAGGTAGGATGTTGTAGCAGAATTTTGTGTACTATTTTTAGATCAGACCGTAGGGGGCATAGTTGCAGGTTGTCCAAGCCCAAAATTTCAAGCCTGGTGGTGTAAGGGATTCTATTGTGAGCAGAAGAGTGGAGTACTTTTCTCGTGAAATACCTCTGGACTTGCTCAATTGTATTAATGTCCGATATACAGTGTGGATTACAGGCAGAAGAGCTGTATTCGGGGATTGGTCCGGCAAAGGTTTTGCATGCCCTAGTTTGCAGTACAATATTACAGGAGAAGAAGCTTTGCAAATTAGTTAACAACACTTGATGCCTTTTTGGCAATGCTGTTACAGGGAGCTCTGGGCAGACTTGGTCCCTGACTGTCGTAGATCCCCTCCATGGAGTTTTCTTGGCTATAGTTCCATGTAGAAATGGTTCACTGTTTGTATTTCTGGGACTTTCTTTCCTCTTATCCCACTCTGCCTGGGATTTCCTTGTGGTCTCCCATCCAGGCCATAATCAAACTCCACTCTGCCTTACTTCAAAGCCTAGAGAAGATCATTCAAAAGGAAGTTTGCATAGAAGTAATGTACCTGCCTCCTGGAACATATTCTCAATGAATCTAAGCTGGCCCTGCTTTTTTTTTTTTAAAAAAGTTAATTATTTAGGAAAGAAAATGTTCCTTTCTGATTGATACAGTAAGATGTCCCAGTCTTGGTTTATTTAACATACTTAAATAAAAATGCAAACAAGTAAAAATAATTAATATGT